GCTTACCTTGACATTTCGCATTTCTTGGCGCATTCTCGATTCTCGCGTTATTTCTCACCCATGCTCATTCGGAATTCCAGACGGAATTGTAACGTGGGTTCTGGCTGGCTGGTCTAGCCAGTACAAAACTGTCAGCAGGCCACTTCTAGCTCATTCAGGTTCTTCCAAAGAGCCCACCGGGTTTTTTCAATTTATCCAGGTGCTTTGTAGGGCGCTGTAGACTGAACTCTTCTTCGCGAGTGAACTGAACTATCGACCGACATTTTTACTGCCTTTTTGACCTTTTTTAGGTTCTTCATACGGCTAGAGACCTGTGCTCTTACAATCAACTGGTACCTTTTTGATGAAGCTTTCGCTGAAGTCGGGTATACTCTTGAAAACGTCTGGACGGTCCCTCTTTGTGGTTGCTTTCCAGTCAAAGGGCATTCTCATGCGAAGCTCATCGACGAAAGAAAGTGTTTGAACTCATTTGTCATGACTCCTTGACTCCAAATTTCGACAGTTCCAGGGAGCTGAGCATTTATAATGTACTTTTCTGTCTTTTCCTCCTTCCGAGACCTTTCATAAATGTAATTTCATGGCGATGTTAAGAAACTGGTAAAAATAGCATCGCAAATTTGTCGCTGAGAGAAAAGAACAATCGGACACAGCAAGCAACAATTTTCACTTGCCCAACAAGTCCTCTAGACAAATGAACCGACCAGTTCACCAGGGAATATTAAGTGGTTTCTCGCCTCCGCCCCTTCCCCACACATACACCCATTCTATGTGAACATGCCATTTTTGAATTCTCAGCCAGTGCTCACTCCTTAACGTTTTTGTTTACGGAAATTTCTTCTTCTTTATTTGTGTTTTTCTTTCTATTCTACTCCATTGTGATTTCATGATCGTAATTTGGGGGTATAATTGTCATAAGAGTCTTATTGCTCTTGTCGGGCGGGGAGGAAGTGAAGAATACTAGTTAGAAGTGGGAAGTAATCGAAACTGAAGGTATAAATCGGTCAGGTCCGAGTTTTTACAATGAATAATCTAATAGGCAGACCAATTCCGACCAGAGCCTATTTTGCGTGAAATAAATAGAATTCGCTAAAGTCTTTTAAAGAGGTGTTTCCGAGTTCTTTTTTTTTGAGTTCATCCCAAAAAGCGATTTCAATTAAAATCAGGTGGAAGGAAATAACTCAGATTCCAAACAAAGGGATAGGGAATTGGGTAGAATACATAGGTCAGGGTATGGATGGGGTTTTTCGTTATTTCATCTCAGCGGTCCTGAAATCCTAATTATTCTCATAACAATGGAAATAACTGCATGTATATTTTCGATATTGCCCATTTTGATTTTGTTACTTCCACAGAGCTTTTCTCAGTGCTCACTTTATGAGAAAAGGCGTAATGAAGAACTGTAAACCACGCCTGATGTGCCACTAACAATCATCGTGGTTCATGATTTTGTATTTTACTAGACGGCTGAGNCAGGGTATGGATGGGTTTTTCGTTATTTCATCTCAGCGGTCCTGAAATCCTAATTATTCTCATAACAATGGAAATAACTGCATGTATATTTTCGATATTGCCCATTTTGATTTTGTTACTTCCACAGAGCTTTTCTCAGTGCTCACTTTATGAGAAAAGGCGTAATAAAGAACTATAAACCTTGCCTGATGTGCCACTAACAATCATCGTGGTTCATGATTTTGTATTTTACTAGACGGCTGAGGTATAAGTTATTATCACTGCAATATAAAGTGACTGAATTGATTTTCTAGTTTTTCGTACTGTCCTAATACTGATACCTCTAAAATACTTGAGTTTTCATGAAGTTGAAAACTTTTTTGGGAATTTTTGAAGAAAATTGAAGAAAAAAATGTGAATAAATGACTTCGGAAGCGAGGATATAGGGCGGAAAATCTTCCAAATGCAGCTTTTGTTGATAAGTTTTTCCATTTGAGAGTTCGTTGTTGGAGGCGAATGATGGACTGCTTTTTTTCCTGCCCAAGTGGCACTTGTTCTCTCCTCTACCAAATGATTTATTTACTTAGCAGTAACCCTTTTTATACCAGAGATACAATTTGGTATAAGTGGTTATCGGAATTTGGGAAAGATTTGTCTTTGAGCTCCTAGAAGTCATACCTCTCAAAAGTTGCTGCTGATTCTAGGGTAGAGTCCCTGAGGGGATTTCCCAGACTCTCTCCTGGGCATTCTGATACAAAACGGAAAGAGTGAATCACAAATTCTATGTTATCTTGATATTCCGTGATCCTTTGCTTGTGACTCCACCAAAATATCATGTTCTCGGGCTAGCGGAGCTTAGAGAACTTAGAATGAACTTCTACTCATTGTCCTTTTTTTCTGTGAGGCAGAGTTTGAGGGTATGTCTATTCCTCTACTTCCTTTCCGATACCGAGTATCTCCTCGAGAAATCATTAGCGAACACATGAAGTTCGTAACGACTGAAGTCATCCCTCCCTAACATTCTCCGAAAAATTCTTCTACAGCTCCTCAAGTTTCTTCTACTACTCTACTGTGTGTTTAAACACTTTTCTTCGGCGCTGATCTGATATCATCTCGTTCCGCCATCAGAACTGCAGAATTACATCATCGTAAGTTGCCGGAATCGTTTGTATTTCAGTAGTGGCCTTCCTGTCTTCTCCCAATTCGGCCCACTAGTGATAACTTAGAGTGACGTAAAGTTTTCCTCTCTAAGGTTCATCTATCAGCCATTTCCGTTGTCTTTTAGGACTTCGTCTTTCCTGAACTTCGTCTTATTTCATAAGGCCGAACTGCAATACTCATCTCAAACCGAATACTCATGAGTAAAGTAGAGCGAAAAAGCTCAGATCCACGGAGCTCTCCTCTTTTTCTCTTTGTCTTTTTATGGGATTGTTTTCAAATCTGGGAGGAAGTTGAAGAAAAATGATGTCATTGTGCCCCGTTCGTGCTGTTCCCATTTAATGGCGCGACCATTGTGTGGTTGATGTTGGTTGAAGACTTGCAGTATGTAATAATGGGGCATTTTATCAGTTCCCGATCATCACAAAGCGCTCCATCCAACGCAGCAGCACTCTTGCACACCCGCATACACTTCAGTCGGGGTGTCTCTGTGCTGTGGTGTCTCTTTTAGCAGTATCGCTGCTGAGATGCTGTTGCTGGTGCTTTGAAAACACACTCGCTCGGGACGCCTCACACTCACACACACAGTGTTCACTGATGACAGCCAACGATGCTCTGTTAAGTGACACTTGTCGACTGTCAACTATATACATACACATACAGTTACATACATATACATTGTCATTATATTGTCTATTGATATACAAACACAGACATGACGGAAGACGGTGGAACAAAAACTAACACGCGGACTTCATGAATAAGTTCTATGGAGAAAGTAGAAGCTATTTTCGCATGTGAAATTCTTTTCAAATCTTGTAGTTAGAACGTTTTGTTCGAGTGTAAGACCACAGTAAGCCATAGAAATAAGCGAAGTGGCCAAAATGTTTGCTTGGGAGATCCGTTTCCAGATCGAGTTCTTTTGGAGTGTGTACATTTTAGACCCAGTTTTCCCAATCAGCTGCTCGTAGCTTTCCAGGCAATTACTCCAGACAGAAGCTACTTATGAATGGTTCTTATTGTATTTGCTCTTGTACGAAGCTCACGCCCGTTCCTTCTTGATACCAACTTCCCAACAAGTCTTCAAGCTAGGGTATATTTTAAGGAGGATTCTATGTGGTCTCTATGCCTGCTGATAAAGTGACATTCGGCTAAGAACACTCAGTACTAGTCTTCTTAGATCCATGAATCCAACGGAGGAGGCTCTAGGTTATCTTTGGCCCTCCCAGTTAGCTACCGCAGCGGCGACTAAAGACTGTTCTGAACCCAAAAGGACTTCTAGGAGGTTCTAAATAAGATTATCAGGATGAAGACTAGGATTTGAACAGAATCCCCTGAGCTGTGAAGCGCACTCCATAGACCCTGAACCGATTACGGCTTTCCTTCCTTCATTACCTTTCTTTCGTCAGCTTTGATAGACTGTATTCTTGAGCTGACCTTCTCAGAAAGTTTTAGCATAGTAGCCCCATAGCCAACAAAGTTTGGTAGCATGGTAGCGATCAATCGACAGCGAGAGCGCCAGAGACGCACTGAATCAGACTATCCGATTGTCTCTCGGGTGAAGTGCTGCCGTCTCGGCAGCGGCGGTGATAGCGGCTGCAGTCGGTCAATGGTCAGTCGCCGTCGCTGCCGACTGTTTTACTGGTGCCCTTAGCGGTGCTCAGCATTCTTATCGCCTGATACGATCAGTACTGCTCTGATCTGCAGTAAAGGGGTTATTTGCAGGTTCTCGAAAAGCTCCAGAATCATTTCAATCCGGTACCGGTTACTTCCTCACTCTTGACTACCAACACCTAACTTCTCTTGGCTAATGACTTAGGCTTAAACAACCACATAGTGACTCGCTACCTTTTATATTTACCTTTTATACTCTTGATCGCATTGGTAAGTATTAGTCCCCTCTGTTGAGGCTCGTCTGACAGTTCCTTGGAACCTTTTTCTTTGAATGTCCTGCTCTGATCCCTGGTTTTTTTTGAACACCGATTTTGTGGCTTAGTCCGTAGACCCCTCTGTGATCATTAGGTTCGGTCTGGCCGTCTATGCCTACCCTTTGTCTCTTCAACCTTCGTCATTGCAAGTTACCGTTCGAAACCGTTCATTAGTTAATTTGTTATCCATGTCCTTTGCTTAAAAAGGTCGTCAGATGCCCTTTCCGGCAATATATGCCACTTGTGGTGCTGGCAGTTGACTCGCCTTATGTTATGTCTCTCTATAGAAACTAGTCAGCCAATTAGATGTCGATGATGAACATACGACATTTGAGAGCTGGACGAGCTCACTGTCTCTCCCACTCTCGCTCCCCCTCTCTCGTCCTTTCACCTCGCAGTCCGTCCGTCCGTCCAACATCACAATCACATCACCGACTCACAATGTAGTGTGTTCCCTTTCAGAGAATGGACACCGCCGACAAAGCTCAACGTCTGTCGGGAGTGTTTCCGTTTCCGTTCTGTGTACCGTCATCATCGCCATCATCCGTATTCCCACCTTTACCGATGTTTCCACCGGGCTTTCAACAGCTTTACGCTAATCTAGTCCAACAACAATTCCTTCAACTTGCCCAACAACAACAGCAACAGAGCCCAGGAGTTCGAGCAGGTACCTTTGGCAGATCATCGATCGTCTGATTTAACTCTCTCACTCCATATCTCCTTTCAGATCAATCACCATGTCTATCAGATCATCCTTCATCAAGAGAGGATTCACCATCCGTCAAAAGTGAGTATATTTGAAAAGTTTGTCAGCGGTTTTCATCGGAATCAGTACACTTCGGGGTGTGTTGGTGGCGAAGATGGGGCCCCGTATGTTGCCATTAGTGACTAATCGAGAACGCCTAGCTAACAGCACCTCATTGGTATTTTGCCGTTCCATAGCCGTACTATTACGATCGAATGTCATGCAGCACAACGGAGACGGCGAAGACGATGAGAGAGAGGCCATCACAGTTCATCCAAACGCCGAAGGACCGTTTGAAATACTAGCATGATGACTAACGCATTCGGACCCGTATTCGCCCGAAGACAAGCACCTTGCCCTGTTCCCCTTGCGGTTGCCTTAACTTGTCAGATTTGGAAGTTAGGAGGGTAATAGTTTGTCGAACTGACAGTATAAATTCCCAGAGCAGGCTCAGGCAGTTACAGGGAGTATTAAACACTAGAGTCCGTCCGGAAAGCCAAGAAACTCATCGTCATATCCGCGTTGTGCTAGAGAGTAACCGAATAGAGCTTAGTTATATTTCTTTTTTTTTTGAAAATGTGGAAATTTCCTTTCTTGGGCACCTTACGGATCCTTTTCAAGGCTGCCTAGTGCCTTTGAAAGATTACTCGTTTTACCCGAACCTTCGCCGTGCTCATGGTCTTAAGCTTCCAGTCATTAGATACATTAAATAGCTTCTCTTGAAGTTCGGAAGATCCGAGATCCTATCTCCTGAAGATAGATGGGTGGGGTGATAGTTTTCACAGAAGTATCTCAAGATATTGCTCCTCAGCTGACATAATCAGGGAGAGGCGTATAGAATGGCTTGGACGGGATCCTGAGCTATGACAGCTCGTTCTGAAATCCAGAAAACCTCTCTCCAAGAGCTTCCAGATCTACGTTGAAGCTCGCAACAACCCATTTTCCTTGAATATGTGGCCTATCTTAGTCAAAATCGAACTTAATTGATGGCTTTGCTTGGAATTCTGGGAAGTGGTGCCTCTGAAATGTTTCTGAGACCGATAAGCGTTCAATTAGCAGTCCACTAGTGATGTGGACTGTGTGGGCAGGCAGGCCGTCGACGACGACGATGGCGACTGTGCTTTCCCAGCGCACTCTATCATGTGTTTGTTGGGGTTAAGACGGCAACAGCGACGTCGACGACGAAGACGACAAACTCGCAACATGCCCTTTTCATCTCCATCGTCGTTCTTTCTTTTCCATTTGAAGGCGGCTACAATGAGACTCCACAACTTACACACTCACTCACTTTCTACGCAACCACCATGAAACAATGCCGACCGCCTGCCGCGCGAACCCACACTTTTTCAGTGTGCCAAGCCTTCTAGACTAGTACCACGAAACGCTTGAAATGTCTACTCGAACATCCCGTAGGGTTCCCAGGAACCCTCATGTGAAAAAAAAGCATGTTTGAATGAGTGGGCATGCAAAGGCGAACAGCAAATTGAACATCGAGGGCAGTGAGTTTTCAAAAACGCTCGCAAAAGTTCCTGGCATGGTCAGAGGTCCACGAAGTTTTTGCAGAACCTCATAAACGCATAATACAGTAGTTTCTATGGAAGGTTAGTAACATAAACTATATTATGTTCTCTAGCCTCATATTACCAGCTCTTCATGTAAGAGAAAGATTTTCCCAGCTTCTTTTCCTATAAAAGGCTAAGCCGAGTAAATCCTTACAAAGTTGACGAATAGGTGAAGTTTGGACCCAACGGGATAGAGTTAAATATAGAGAATGTATCTAGGCAGTGATGTAGGCCTTTATCAGACTCAAACGGAATAGGAGATCTCTCCTCTGACTCTACTAAGCCTTCACTTTGGCAGTTCAGAGAGCCTACTGAGTAGGGTGTGGGGGTGTAGTTGAAATAAGCAGGTATTTGAAGGTTTGAAGGAGGTCGTAAAAGCTAGGAAATCAGCTTGACCGCGTTTCACGCCCTCGATTGAATTTGAGTTGACTTTGCGGAGCATTTCTCCTACTGGAGCGATCTTGGCGACCCATGCCTGGAAGAGCATAGAAATGGAAGTTAAGAGTGGTTCAACCGGATGTGTAGACAAACTGGTCAGTCACCGCTGGTGAAGCTGACCGCATCTCATACTTGGAGTGCTCGATACTTGAGAGTTGAGCCTTTTTCCCAAATGTAGATCTCGTCTCAAGTATACGTCCCTTAAGTATACGGTCAGCAAAAATCGATAAAGCATCGATTCGATGCTGAGGGTGGGTTGGATATATTGATTAACTGAATCTTATGAATTCGATTATCTGGTAACGATTTCGTGAGAATGATCACGGGAGCGTCACGTGGTCACGTAGGCATTTCTTCAGAAGAAGGTCGAACATCAGGCCTAGAATCGGAGCGTGGGATAGTTTGCCACGAAGGGAGTGGTACCACCTGGAGATGGATTTTAATGATGGGAAGTCTTCCACTCACGGTCTTGTCCAACTTATTGACCTTTAACGAGTTTAGATAGTAAAGGCATGAGATTCTAAGGCGATTTTCCCATCGAAGTGGAGCTTATGACTGGGGATCTACTCACTTTTGTCTATCTTTTACTCTGTGCCGAAGTAATGACGTGTTGAAGTTGTTCAAATAGGGTTATTCCTCCTCTTTCCTCCATCGGATCACGCCAGACCTGTTCGCTCTGTTTCCGTTTCACATACTAGGCCATACGGAGGGCTCATTTCGAGTGATGGTGATAAATTCAAACGCGTGAACTGAGGCTAACATTCGTACGTACTGATTACGGTATGGCTCATTGATGATGTTTAGGAAGCGTAGCCAAGTGTGTGCCCGTCCGGTTCACAGCAACCCAGTCAGCCTGCCTAGTCGTTGTGAACACTGAGGTGGTCGCTCGGGCGCTCGCTCCCCTCCGCATGTGCTTTATGATGCGCGTAACCGGAAGTTCAGCAGTAGTAGCAGTAGCAGCCAGCAGCAGCCAGACAGCGA